TAGTAGATGATGAAAGGCTCCCATTACTGAACCCTGTGAATCTTCACATTACGCTGCAAGTAACTGACTAAAACCTGTTGCGAATGCCTCCATTCCCACACTGAGTCATCTCACAGAAAAACACGTTCGTGAGCCGCGACGCTGCCTGCCATGACAGCGACCCGACTTGACTGTGGCCACAGAGCTCTCGTCAGATCTGATTGATACATGTTTTTGAGAAGTCGTTCGGCTCTTTCCCATCCAGCGGAAGCTAAAAGTACACACAGCTTTTTTTGTCAGAATGACTTGTTATTTGTGAATACAGCTCTCTTAGTAGTCCAGTGCCCTCTTTTCCCCTCCCATGCTGTTTTTGCGAACAACAGTCGGGCAAGTCCATAGTTCCTGCTAATTATAGGGCGCGGGCCATAACAAAACTGCTGCCCCTGGAACCTTGAAGCATGCATGCGCTTTCGTACGCAGCTGCTGCTGCTGCTTCATTTGGCGTGGTCGTGTACATCGAGTGTCAGGTGAAAACCTGAGCTGAGATTCGTAGCGAACATGGATACGAAGATACTTGAAGTAGCAGGCCTAAATTTTGACAGTCAAGGAGGCATTGATGGCGTGACTCGCTAGTCTAACAACCTTACCTCTCCTTCCAATGGCTTTAACCCATGCCTACCTGACTTTTTGTTTCGCTATTAAAAGCAAAGACGAGCACCAGAGTGGCAGACTAAAGGCAGATCCATGGGGCGTCAGGCCGTCGATACTGCCTGGCTTACCGAATGAGTGGTGCGTCACTAGCAAGGTGACAAGGCAGAGACCGGGGGGTTGCCAGTCTGTTGCCGCATTTGGGGGCTGCATAATCATCCCGCCGGTCCAGTTGATGGACTACTTGGGCGAAAGGAGGGGAGCGCCAGTCACCGCTCAAGCAAGCTTCTGGACGCCTAGAGTTGGCTGGAAAGCAAGCACCCATCTGCTTGGGGCACGAAGAAGGGCATTTTACAAAGCTTGCTAGTACTTCCAGTCACATGGGATTTGACTCTAGCGGCGCCCGTGGGAGAAAACAAGGTTTCTCTAGCGTATAGACAGCTGGGGGGGAGGGTTTTTGCCCTAGAGGTCTCCCTCCTTTCCGTACCCAATATTTGGGGCAGGTAAGCGCCCACCGGACAATTCCGCCGTGATAAGTCATTGCCCCAGCGCTCAGGTTAAAATGGAGAATTCAACTTCTAGAAATGTAGTCGTCTTCTAACAGAGACCAAGTGAACTAGTTTTTTGTTTTGTTTTATGGAGGTGAAAAAAAAGAGATCCGGTCAGGTAGGCAGCACGACTTTGAATATAGGATCTACAATTCAAGCCTGTGTCCCACTCCCCACTAGCGGCTCCCAGTCCTACGCCTTATTCGGTAACTGATCAGGCTTCAATTGTCAGACAAAAACTTCCCGATAGACCGTGAACCGAGGGCTTTCACATATGTGCTGCTTATTTACGGTAAACCGATTATTCCTACCGTTTATTATTATTAATCTTAGTAGTAAACCACTCCTCATAATCGCCTCTATTTGACAGAGAAGACACTCCAAAGAGGTGTGTGAACAACATTCGACCAAATAAAGCTAATTAACCAACAGTACAGAACTACTTCCTGTATGACGGTCGCTAACCGGCAAAATTTTCGGCACACGACCATAACACGTGAACATAGGTGCCACACCCACCCAAAAGAGTTTCTACTGATAGAAGACCGGTCCAAATATTGGAGATGCTCGAAGTTCAGACGCCGTTCGAGTGAGAAGACCAAACGGCATGCTAGCTGCTCCCCTCCCCCTAGAAGATACATGTCTGTGGACACGTGCAGTAGAAACACGATCCCATGTAATCCTCCTCGCAGAAATGTGAATAGCGCAAGCGACAAGGTACGTTACTGTTGTCCCACGACGTGGGCACGAATTTGTTTATGGAAGCAGATTCGTGCCGCAGTTACCCTCCGCCTCCAGAACATACCGTGTTTGAGGGGCTAAACAGAAGCAGGTGACAACCGAAAATGGGAGTCAACGGAGTAGTCGGTACGTCTACGCGTGCCACCAACAACTTAGGCCCAAATCCACACATTTGGGACTTTGACTGGGGATGTCCCGGATCCCACAGATGTGAGTTGTGTCAAAAAAGGACGC